GACACCCTTGTACGTGTGCACCAGGAAACATATTTGAGGATATTCATAGCAAAATTAACCACTGCTTTTATTAGAAAAACCCTAGAAATAACAGAAATGTGTATAAACAGTTTACTTCTTCAGTGAATTATCTCTAACTGTAAAAGTGGATACAGAATTTCATCAACTAAGATGAACCTCAAAAAAGTAATGCAGGCCAGGCGCAGTGGCTCATGCCTGTAATCCCAGCACTTTGGGAGGCTGAGGTGGGTGAATCACGAGGTCAGGAGTTCAAGACCAGCCTGGCCAAGATGGTGAAATCCCGTCTCTACTAAAAATGCAAAAATTAGCCGGGTGTGGTGGTATGCGCCTTTAATCCCAGCTACTCAGGAGGTTGAGGCAGAGAATTGCTTAAACCTGGGAGGGGGAGGTTGCAGTGAACCAAGACTGTGCCACTGCACTCCAGCCTGGGTGACAAAGCGAGACTTCGTCTCAAAAAAATAAATAAATCAAATAAAAAAGTAGTGCAAATCACGGAAGAACACATTCAGCTGGATCTGTTTATATACAATCAAAACCAGCAAAGTGAAACAGTGTACTATTTATACTTTTACTACATATGTATATGTCCCTAAATAAGTGTAAGACAATGATAATTTTAAAACAAATTCAGACTTAGTGGTGGTCCATGAGAAGGAGAAAAGGAAATAAGATGAAGGAGGGACACACTGTATGCCTCTAATGATTTGTAGTGTAATTTGTAGTGTGCTATTTCTTAGGTTGGGAAGGAGATACATGGATGTTTATTATATGAAATATAAAGTGTCATAAACTGCTTTTGCCTGCATAATATGTTTTATATTTTTTTTAAAACACAGTATATAAGAGAAAGGAGGAGACACTGAGGACTATTCACAGGATACTAGCTTGAGTAGTCAAATGGGTAATGACACCATTATCAGATTCAGCAACACAGGAAGAGGGGCACAATTAAATTTTATGACTCTGGTTTTGAAGGGGCTAAGAGTGAAATGTCTCTGACGTATCCAAGAGTAGATGTCAAAGAGGCAACAAAATATTAATATCTGGAGCTTAGATGAGAGGTCAGTGCTGCAGAGATAGATTTGGGCAATAAATATTTGAAAACATGAGGTGATAGGAGAGTCCCAAGACAAAAAGGAAATCACTATTCCTGAGACCTAAGCTCATTCCATTTCATCTACCAAATGATCCAAGCTGAGCTGTACCTTCTGATTTTACTCTCTCCACCAGGCTTATTCCTCTATTTATATAGACTAGATCCAATACTTCAGACTTCACAATGATTTCCTTCCAAGTTATGTTGACTCCTATCATATAATGTTTTTTACTTACGTTTTTCATTTCTGTTGCCATCAGATTCTCAATATCTTGTATCCTGGGCTACTACCAACTGATTGTATTTGAGTATTTATATTTATTTATTTATGTATTCCATCCTATTATTTATCTGTCATTTTAATATATTTTCTTAGTGCTATCAAAACCATTGACAGAACAGAAACTAAACAGATTTTTAATGGGAATCCTTGAAAGGTGATGTTTCAAATATCTAAAAGATAAATTAAGTAAGTCCAGCTTCACTAGTAAGTGAATAAATGTACATTCTAAAAACAGTCAAATTAGATAGAATTTTATATAGCAATTGGCAAACATTTAAAATAGTAACACTCAGATCCTTTTAGGGAATCAACCATAGGACTGTGGTTGGTCTCCTTGAGCAGCTGGAGAGAAGGGATGGGGTGAGTTGATACAATTCTCTGGAAGGCAGTTAGGCAAAATATATGTTGCAAAATATGTTTATATCCTCAGTTGTGGTATTTCCACTCCTGGGAATATGACCTAGGGAAATATTCAGATGTGCAGACAAAAATGTTATATTTGTAGGAAATTTTGTCATATTTAGAGTAAAAATCTGGAAATAATCTAAATATTCAGCAATGAAAGGATGGATTACAAATTATTATACAGTGAAATATTCTATAGCCCCTCAGCTTGTGGTTTCAAAGGTTGCTTAATGCACAAAGTAGTGACACATTGCCTAGTGAAAAATAAAGTCACATGCAACATAGTATTTAAGAAACATAAGATTTAGATCTGCATATGAAATAATAGAGGGCTATTTCTGATCCACTTCAAGTTAGGTATAACTCATTTCTTTGCATCTGGATATCCAGTTATTCTAGCACCATTTGTTACAAAGATGGTATTTCCCCCATTAAATGGTCTTAGGACCCTTATTGAAAATCAAAGTACTACTTTTAAAAATCAGAAAACAAAATCAAAGTATACAGAGAAAAAAAATAAAAATTAAAATAAAATGTAGAATGAATATCTCTGGTGATAGAACAGTGATTGATTTTTTTTCTCTATTATTCGTTAACCATTATATTATCCAATTTTTATTCAGAATATCTATTAGTTCTATCATTAGAAAAATATAAAACATTATTAAGGGTGATTCCTTTTAACCTCTTTAACCTTTCCTTTTTAAGGATACTGTCATGAAGCGGACATGTGCTGACACACCTGTTGATCATTGTCTATCTGGCATAAGAAAGTGTAGCAGCACCTTTAAGCCTGAAAGTGAAGTCAGCAAGCATGAAACAGCCCTTGAAATGCAGAATCCAAATTTGAACAACAAAGAATGTTGTTTCACCTTTAGTTTGAATGAAAACTCCAGAAAATTAGACCGTAGTGTGTTTACAGCATATGGTAAACCCAGTGAGAGTATCTACTCAGCCCTGAGTGCTAATGACTATTTCAGTGAAAGGATGAAGAATCAGTTTAATAAGAATATTATTGTTTATGAAGAAAAGACAATAGATGGACATATAAATTTAGGAATGCCTCTCAAGTGCCTGCCTAGTGATTCTCATTTTAAAATTACATTTCATCAAAGAAAGAGTAGCAAAGAAGATGGACACATATTACGCCAATGTGAAAATCCAAACATGGAATGCATTCTTTTTCATGTTGTTGCTATAGGAAGGACAATAAAGAAGATTGTTAAGATAAAGGAACTTCATGAAAAAGGAAGTAAACTTTGTATTTATGCCTTGAAGGGTGAGACTATTGAAGGAGCCTTATGCAAGGATGGCCGTTTTCGGTCTGACATAGGTGAATTTGAATGGAAACTAAAGGAAGGTCATAAGAAAATTTATGGAAAACAGTCCATGGTGGATGAAGTATCTGGAAAAGTCTTAGAAATGGACATTTCAAAAAAATTACAACGGAAAGATATCCATAAAAAAATTAAACAGAATGAAAATGCCACTGATGAAGTTAATCACCAGAGTCTGATACAGCCTAAGAAAAAAGTCCATGAACCAGAGAAAGATGGAGAGACCAAAGATGTAGAACACAGCAGAGAGCAAATTCTCCTACCTCAGGATCTAAGCCATTATATTAAAGGTAAAACTCGCCAGACAATTCCCAGGATTAGAAATTATTACATTCATAGTTTGACCCGAAAATATTGGCAAATAAACTCACAAGTTAGGCGGAGACCACATCTGAGTAGGCAGTATGCTATTAATCTGGATGTCCAAAAGGAGGCAATTAACCTCTTAAAGAATTCTCAAATGTTGAATGAAGCCATTATGCATCATTATCCGAATTTTAAGGAGGAGGCACAGTGGATAAGAAAATATTTTCAGGAAGAACAAAAGAGAATGGATCTTTCACCATCTAAGCAATTCAACATATATAAAAAGGACTTTGGAAAAATGACTGCAAATTCTGTTTCAGTTGCAACCTGTGAACAGCTTACATATCACAGCAAGTCAGTTGGGTTCATGGAATGGGACAATAATGGAAACACAGGCAATGCTACTTGCTTTGTCTTCAATGGTGGTTATATTTTCACCTGTCGACACGTTGTACATCTTATAGCAGGTGAAAACACATGTGAAAGTTTGTGGCAAGATATAATTAGCAAATGTGCTAAGGTAACCTTCACTTATACAGAGTTCTGCCCTGCTCGTGACAATTGGTTTTCCATTGAGCCATGGCTTTTTTCCAATAAAACTCTAGATTATGCCATTTTAAAACTAAAAGAAAATGGAAATGCATTTCCTCCAGGACTATGGCGACAGATTTCTCCTCAACCATCTACTGGTTTGATTTATTTAATTGGTCATCCCCAAGGCCAGATCAAGAAAATAGATGGTTGTACTGTGATTCCTCTAAATGAACGATTGAAAAAATATCCAAACGATTGTCAAGATGGGTTGGTAGATCTCCGTGATACCACCAGTAATGTATACCCTATGTTTACCCAAAGAAGTTTCCTATCAGAGGTTTGGAACACGCACACGCTTAGTTACGATACTTGTTTCTCTGATGGGTCTTCAGGCTCCCCAGTGTTTAATGCATCTGGCAAATTGGTTGCTTTGCATACCTTTGGTCATTTTTATCAACATGGATGTAATGTGCATGCCCTTATTGAGTTTGGTTATTCTATCGATTCTATTCTTTGTAATATTAAAGAGACAAACGAGAGCTTGTATAAATTATTAAATGATGAGAAACTTGAGACCTACAATGAAGAGAAAGGTAAACAAGAGTCATTGCTTCAAGATCATCAGATTGAACCCATGGAATGTTAGAAAAAAGATGCTGTCTTCAAGAAAATATGCCAATAATCACTGGCAAAGATTTCATGACAAAGACACCCAAAGCAATTGCAACAAAACCAAAAATTGGCAAATGGGACCTAATTAAAGCTTTTGCACAGCAAAAGAACCTATCAACATGCTAAACACACAACCTACAGAATGAGAGAAAATATTTGCAAACTATGCATCCAGCAAAGATCGAATATTCAGAATCCTGCTACAACCACACACATTAAAGATCTCAAATCACCTGATCCTACTATTGCAAATAAATCTCCACTGAGTTATTCATGTAAGTGTGTTATAGGATAAATCAGTTGCAAAAACTTGTTTTTAAATAGCATGCAAATAAAGCCTGCTCTTCACGGCCCCAATTCTGAAAGCCCTGTCATATATCACTGCTTGAACTTACCTGCTGTATGACCTCTGCTTCCATCCCTCTGAACCAACGATGGGTTTCACAAGACGAACCAGAAACACAGTAGTTCTGAGTGGTTATAATACAATTCATTTGCCACCTAAATTTTAGGTAAAAATTATCACTGGAATGATCAGGAACTGGGCACATAGACCCTAGAATTTTGCAACAGCAAAACACATCTGAATTTGGAATCTATATCTCAAATGTTACCACCTCTGTGACAGCATCCCTGAAGCCCTCTCTGTGCTACCACTGCAGCCTGTTCACTTCAGTATTATGTTTATAACTCTGTTTTTAAATTTTTTTACTTTTACTCATCTACTAGATTGTGACTTAATGGATGGTGAGGACAATGTTAGATTCATCTTGGCAATCCCAATGCTTAACACTATATCTGGCATGCACGAAAATTTCCTCCAACTGAATAAAATTTTTAAAAGGATACTTTAGGTTTATATATCATAGATATAAATTAGTGGAAGGTAACAGCTATCCCATAGAGCACATTAGAGAGACTGGTGTTCCAACAGCTACATGAAGTGGAAACATACAAAAGTGGAAACATACAAACTAGCTAAAGGTGGGGCTTCTCCATCACTTTCTGTCTTTGCTGCATGATCCTCATGGGCTGCATCCAACCTTATAAAGTCAGCAAAGAAGAGAAAATCAGAGGCTGGTCCATTCCTCGCTGGTGTGATGACATAAGGAGTCATTCTTTGTGAACAGAACTCACTGGTGTCTGCAGTTTTTTGTTTTGTTTTGTTTTTGCTTTTGGTAAAGGTTGGTTATAGTGTTGAAGAAGAACTAAAAGATATCCACTCAAAATGAACTCTGGCTAATGATTCTGGACAGTCCAATCCTGTGGTTCAATTTCTTCAATGGCCAGCTAAGGGAAAAGGGACTGAGCATATACATTAATTCCCAGGCTTCAAGGAGCAGAAACGCCTGCAATTGGTTTAGAAATTGCAGTGTGCTTTTGCTCTTGTTGGCTATAAAAAGGCTAGGGAGAAAAACGAAAGTTAAGGAATTAAACTTCCTACTGTATATTGGTTTACAAGAAAAAAAAATATATATATAAAGTTATTTATATTTAAACCTATATATTTTATATTTTAATCCTTATGCCTTCCCCAGGAATCCCTATACATTTTCACAATAATCCAGGATACCACAAGGGACGGAGAGAAGAGCGTTTGAGATCTTATTAGCCCTTGAGGTGGCCCCAAGGGGCTCACCAGCCTCAGTTCTAGCACCTTTAGACCAATAGATGGTTCTCAGAGAAGCACAAGGAAGTGAACGTCTAGCTTCCCAACTTGACACCCCCACTAACCACTCGAGCTTCCCCAACACTCAGTCAGGGAAATGCGGTTTCCCAGAAGGCTCAAGCTCTGTCCTAGAGAACTGAGGACTGGGTAAACCATTTCCACGCCGTGCTGCCATTGGCATGAGGGATGTCGGTCCTCGCCTCGCCTCCGCCTTCCGCTTACCAGCTTTCCGCAGGCTCATCCTCTGTCGCCATCTGCTGGCAGCGCGCAGCACTCCCAACCCCGGTTAGGAAGAAACGCCTTTCCTACTTGAGTTTTAGGGGCTGCTCTCACCTCTCTCGGGAGCCGTCCTGAAAGGGAGCTGCCACGCTGGTCTCATTCTGTAGAGCTGCGAATTAAGGAGCACTGCGGGCGCCCCGAGAGGGTCTTGGAGGGTCTTTCGGGCGGTGAGGTCTGGAGGAAAGCGGGGCGGGTTTCTGCGTCCTGAGGTACAAGGAAGACGGAGGCCACTACAGATCGCGCGCCCCTACTAGTCCCTGCAGCCCGGGCGCTTGAACCTCCGGCCACAGCTAGGACGGGCGCGGTGGTTATTTTCTTTTCTGGAAGGAGGAAGGCTAGCAGCCTCTGGAGTTTTGATGGGGCGGACACCCCCTTAAGAGTCCAAACGGAGAGTCCTTATGAGGGCATTACCCTCGTAGAGGTTCTTTGCCTTCCAGGTCTTGGACTGAGCTGGAGTCTATGATCTGGCTCCTAGGAATCCCGATCTCGCAACACTTTTGACCTCAAGTTGAAATGAACATCACCTTTTCCTGCTAGTGGTTGAGTAATTTGGTAATATTTATCCAAAACCTAAAAATCATGCACAATCATCTAGACAAGTATACATCAAAACAGAGTAACACGGTAGTAGTAACAGAAGTAATAATGGCAAAGGCGCCATGCCATTTCCAGAGCATTCGTGCCAGGTACATCTCCACGACCATCCCATAGGCTACCTCATTTAACCTCATACCCTCTATGAGACAGTATTAGCGGGGGCATGTTCTTTACACGCAATGACAGAACCAGGACAGAGGCAAACAGAAAGATGCAGTGGTTTCCAGTGTGGAGCTCAGCACAGTGTTAGTTCTGTCTACATTCTACTGCCCAAAGCCCAACACTGATGGGGTGGGGAGGAACCTGCAAAGGTACCTGGCAACCGGTGTGTGTACAGGGAAGGGGGAAGATCTGAGAACAATTTTCCACACTCGGCAACTGGTTCTTCCAATTCTCCAAGTACTTCAAACTAGATTAAACAGCAAACATGTGTATTTAATGTAGAATGTGTGTGCATTTTAATATATTGGATAGGCTATGAGATGTGACCTGGTAAAGCACTAGGCTTAGATACAATATTGCATTAAACTGCTCTGGGTCCATGAATGTGAGAATCATATTCATTCACCTCTGTTCCCCAATATCCAGTACAACACCTGGCACAAAGTAGTAATTAACACATCTCTTAAATGAATGAAACCACTGTGGAAATGATACTATTTGTGTACCTTCTCTGTCTTCCCTATTTGAGGGCAGGACTCAACATTTTACCCTTCATAGAATCTGGCACCGGATCTTGTAAACTGCCACCAGAAATTTATACTTTGACTAGATGATTGGATGAATGAAAAAGCAGTAAAGTAGGAAGGAGTAAGCAACTGTGCCTTTTTGCAGTTAGATATGAGAGGCAGTCATCATTCAATAGAATAAGTTTGGCTTCTAGTTTCAGATGGGAGTACAAATCCTCATAAGGATGTTTCTGCACAATTATTTGCTAAAGCTTTTTGTGAAATGGCGAAGATAACCTCACCTTCCCCACAGGGTTATTGAGAGTGTTAAATGAAACAGATACATGTAAATGCCAAGCTCAGAGAGGAACTCAAAGCAGTACAGCAGCAGAGGCCATTTCCCTCTACACACTCCCTGCTCCTTCCCTGGGCAGACATAAGTGTTAGCCAGGCCAGTGAAAGCAGTCAAGCAGCCAAGTTGGACTTTGTCAAGGTATCCCACACCACCACCACCCCTTTTAAAAGTTACCACAAAAGTAATGATAAGAAAGTTTTATGTATAACAACTATGGCATTTTTACCTTGATCACACATCTTGATTTATCAAACAGGTATTTACTTTCAGTGCTTCCAATGATTAAGAATAAGTTAGGGCAACAAAAAAGGAAATCTGTGTAGAACATGATGAACCTGGAATTTTTGGTTTCATATGCGTGTGTATATGTATGTATATGTATACATATATACACACACACACATATACAGAGCAGTAATGGCTTTTAAAATAAATTCAAATAATAATAGAAAACAAAACATCTTCAAGCGTGATGTAATATTTTTCCTACAAGAAGGTCTTGCTTTAAAAATGTGCATAAGGTTATGCTTTTACATATTTTATATAATTTTTTGAAGGTACATTATCAAATTAATATTTTCCAGCTGGGGTATCATATTTAAGGGTGATAGCAAATACTCCAAACACACCAGCTGTCACAAAATAATTAGGCCTACGTCTATTATTATCTGTTTCTTGTAATAAAATTAATCATAAATGATATGAATTATTGATTAAAATTAGTGTTTCTAGACTATAAACCTATGAAAAGTCAAAAGAGCATTATTTTTACATATTTTTCAAGAATTCAGATAACAGTGTAACCTTTGATTATAACAGAATTCATTTCTAGCAGAATTACAAATACAGCAATTATAAATATAAATGATACTCTGTTAAGTCCATTCTGCTTTTAACTGTGCAACTATTTACAGCAAGAGGCAGGAATAAAAAGGTGTCTATAGGTGTGGAAGAAAAATCACCCCATGCTGTTTTTGACCTCACATTGTAAAAAGTAATTTCTTACTATCAAAAAAGGCGTTTTCCCAAATAAAAGCAAACAAACAAGGAAACAAAAATACAGAAAAAAAAAACCAAAAACAGAAACAAAAACAAAAACAAAAAACTACTAACTGACTGTGACTTAAGTGTGAAGGAAAAAAACCCTTTGCAGCTAATGTTGGAAAAAGTGTGTCCCCTGTAGATTTAGTCTAAGAATTAAGAAATTGGCTGGGTGCGGTGGTTCATGCCTGTAATCCTAGCACTTTGGGAGGCCAAGGTGGGTGGGCTGCCTGAGCTCAGGAGTTCGAGACCAGCCTGGGCAATATGGCGAAATCCTGTAGTCCCAGCTACTCAAGTGGCTGAGGCATGAGAATCACTTGAACCTGAGAGATGGAGGTGAAAGCCAAGTTTGTGCCACTTCACTCCAGCCTGGGCGGCATAGTGAGACTCTGTCTCCCAAAAAAAAAAAAAGAAAGAAAAAATAGCCTGTTTAATGAAGCACTCACAACGAACCCAGGCTATGATTATAGAATAGGAGCACAGTAATTGTAAGAACTCTGGTCCTTAGAAGACGAAAGTTAAATTTAATAAATAAGTTTAATGGCCAAAATACCTTTTTAAAACTTGTTTGTAGACTTTAGAATGTGAATTTTATTTGGTTTAGATCTTACTAAGCTATATTTTGTAACTGAAATTAATACTTCATGTTTGCCGGAAATTAGTACAAAAAACAATAGCCAAAGTTTGCTACAGAGAAATAAATGTCAATATTAGACTTGTTTTTGAAAATGTAGGGAACTGTAATTAGTAATATACGTTAAGAAAATGACAAAGATGTCGGATAATGAAGAAAAAATGTGACAGTAATCTTTTATCCAAAAAAAGGTTATGTTCCTATTGCCTAAAGCCAAAATGTATTTCATTGCAAATATATATAAAGTTTACGAATTGTTATTTTATGCCCTTTCCGCAGTAAGCCAACACATAACTTATCATGCCATAAATGTTTTTAAAAGAAATATGATTAAAATTATACAAAATGACAAAAATTTCAGAAAGAATGTTGATAAATATCTTGGTACATAGTAGGTTTAGTTGCACAGATATTAGGTAGAGGAACATGTTTTATATCTTCTATAATAATAACTTTTTATTATTTCCTTGTGCACTAATATTTTAATATATCAAAATCATTTGAATAACCTTTCTAGTAAATCTCAACTTCGTAGATTGAAAACTTTTTTAAAAACTTTACTTTTAAGTTTAGTGGTACATGTGCAGGTCTGTTATATAGGTAAACTCATGTCATGGGGGTTTGATGTACAGATTATTTCACCACCAAGGTATGAAGCCTAGTACCTGTTAGTTATTTTTCCTGATCCTCTCCCTCCTCCCATCCTCCACCCTCCGATAGGCCCCAGCATCTGTTGTTCCCCTCTGTGTGTCCATGTGTTCTCATCATTTAGCTCCCACTTATAAGTGATACTATGCAGTATTTGATTTCTGTTCCTGCATTAGTTTGCCAAGAATAATGGCCTCTAGCTCCATCCATGTCCCTGTATAGGACATGATCTCATTATTTGTTATGGCTGTGTAGTAGTCAATGGTATATTGAGTTTTCTTTATCCAGTCTACCATTGACAGGCATTTAGGTTGATTCTTTGCTATTGTGAACAGTGCTGCAAGGAACATATGTGTTCATGTGTTGAAAGAATTATTTATATTCCTTTGGGTGCATACCCAGTCATGGGATTGCTGGGTTGAATGGTAGTTCTCTTTTTAAATCTTTGAGGAATTGCCACACTGTTTTCCACAATGGTTGAACTAATTTACACTCTCACCTAGTATATAACCCTTCCTTTTGGAAACAAATTTTATCAATATATTCAATTGTTAACACCCTTGTTTTAGAATATTTTAAGCCTATTTTCCTTTAATCACCATTTGCTTACACATTGAAATGTAAAACAGGCAAAAGAGAAAGAAGGAAGAAAGGAGGGAAGGAGGGAGGGAGAAAATTGAGAGAGAAACAAAGAGAAAAGAAAAAAGAGAAGAAAGAAGGAAGGAAGGGAGAGAAAGAGAGAGAGAGAGAAAGAAAGAAAGAAAGAAAGAAAGAAAGAAAGAGAGAGAGAAAGAAAAAGAAGGAGAAGAAGGATGGAAGGAAGGAAGAATAAAAGAAAAAAGAGAAAGAGAAAGAAGGAAGGAATGAAAGAAGGAAAGAAAGAAAGAACGAAAATTGTCTCCAGAGTAGAACTCTTGGCTGCCATTGTTTGGATGCTGGGTACTAGCTGTGATTACCCTTTCTGAATGTGGGAATGCACAGATTCCAAAAGTGAGTATCACAGAAAAAGTCAGCATTCAAATGTTTTAAGTTTACTGTATCCAAACCCCAAAGAACCCACAGGAGATGAAGCAGTAATTTTAGCTTCCCTTGGTGTATTGTGCATGCATTTAACGCCAGTTCCTTCCTCCAAATTCCCACGCGTTTTGTAGTTACCAACACACCACTCAACCCTATCTGTTTATATACATCATATAGTCCTCTGTCGATTGCATAAAAGTCGTCCCCTTTGTGACTGTAGTCGCCTTCTCCAAAACACATCTACTCAGAATGCAGGTTCTTAAACAGCAGGCTGCCTTGAAAACCCTCTCCAATCTTCTTTGATCATCAGCTTTCAGATGCATATTCCTAGAGCCCATATCATCTTCTTCATCACTATCATAAACGTCTCCACATATTGATGAACGTTTAGAGAATCGATTTATGACAAGGACGTTTACTCTTCCTGCATCCGCGGCTTCTTAGTGATTTTGTCCGAGTGTCCAGGCCTATCCCATCTGCTGGGGATGCCGCCCCCTGGGAAACCTGAATGTCCCCACTTACCCAACTAGCCTCAGCGCCTCCTGTGGGCTGCAGCAGATGGCGCGCTGCAGACCCCAGCCTGGTGCCTCCGCGCCTCCTCCCCAGCCATGATGTACAGGCGAGGACAGGCGCATTCTTGCGCGCCGACTTCCACCTCCGCTTCCCGCGCGCGCGAGACTCAAGCTGCTACAGTGGCTCTGCCGCCAACGTCTCAGCTCCTCCCACATCTGAGTTTTCATTTCCTGCTCCCTCTGCAGCCCCGCCCAGGCCAACCTACCCGCGACTAGGACGCGTTCGCTTTCGTTCAGGCTTTCCAATACTCGGGACTGGGGAAACCCGGAGAATAGAAGGAGGCAAGGACCGCCGTGGGCAGCGAGGTCAGTGAGACAGGGTCCTGCTTGCGGCGTCAAGGAGGAGCGCTGTGGGTGCGTAGGATGGGCGCGCTCCCTCGGCCTTGCCTTTCCAACCACTCTTTTTTTGCATGCCACCAGGTATCCCCACCGCAGCCAATCGGCTTCCGAAGTAGGTGAGTTGCTGTCTAAAGAGAAAGACAAATTCCAGTATCTTTCAGTCCATCGGCCAGACAAGCCATTCCCCAGGTGAGTTGTTTTTTGTTGTACTCGTGGAAAAGAAAAGTTCAAGGGAAGAGAACAGGCTCAAGTCTGCTTCTCACGCTGGCTCTGGGGATTAGGAAGTTCAGAAAGTTTTGTTTCAGACTGGCAGTGCTGGCTGATATAAACACAGCGTCAAGTACTGCACGCTGCAGCTACCTGAGGCCCCCGAACGGCCAGTCTCCCCGCTTTTCCAGTGGTCCATAGAAGCAAAAGAAAGGAGAGACAGAAGAGGGGAGAGGTACGTGGGAGGTTTAGGCGGAAGAGGCACGGCTGATTTAAAAGTGAAAGAAAGTAACCAATTGGTTCGCAGACAACCTTAAAAGGCTGGCGATTCAAACCCCTAGCCCCACCTGCTCCGTTTCCCGCCGAGCTGGAGCTCTGGAGTCTTTGCTTCCTCAAATGCGAGCGGGACGTGCACTGAGCGCTGGATTCCAGGCCCAGTGCTGGCGAGGCGCGCAGTGAGAGAGCACATAGAGCGCTGGGGTGCTCCACGGGGTACGGCACGGCCGCAGCGGGCTCGAGTCCCGACTGGGAGGGGAGGGAGCTGGGTGCCCGGAAGTCAGGGACTGACAGCGCCACCCATCTGGGGAGCCGGGAGGACACAAGTTTTATTTTGGTGGTGCTGTAAGTCCCCTTGTGTGCCGGGTCGTGGGGAGGGAGCGGGGCGGCGTGGTAAGATTGGAAGAGGCTTAGAGTTGGCCTCGACTCCTGCCCTTGCCCCTGGAAAGGCAGAAAGTGGGGGTTGGGGTGGGGAGAAGCAGGAAGAGAGGGAGAGTGAAGGAGGGGAGGAGAGGGAGGGAGGCAGAGAGGGGGAAGAAGAGAGGGAAGGAAGGAGAGATTGAGAGACAGAGAAATTCCTAAGGGGAGCTGTTAGGTGGGCTGGACATGGGCCCCAGGCCGCACTGCTTTATCCCTTTGCTGTAGGAAGCCAAGCAAGTCATTTAGGTAAGTAGAACCCTGACCTCAAGTAGAAAACAAGGGTTGGTATAGGATAGCTAAGAGTTCTTTATATTTTGATATAACCTGATTCATCCTGGATACTGGAAACAATGTAGGAAAGAGAGGATATTGGAGTATTTTCTTAACCTCTTGCCCCTTTCCACTGTGATTGCTCATGTACATGCAAAATTCATGTTTCTTTCTGCCCATTTTATTTTCTTTTTAGTCTGTGTCTATTAATCACTCCTAAAGCAGCTGGATCCTCTCTCAGACTTCATAAGATGAGACTTCATAAACAGACACAGTGAATCCCTAGATTTTCTTAATAGTTGGGCAACAAGTTCTTGCATTTAAGGATGTTGCAACATAGACCAGTTCCGCAATTATATATTTTCTATTTTTGTTTTCCTAGGTTCTCTGCTGTTTAAAAAGTACCCCTGTAGTGAGTGTATTGATATTGATAACATTTACATCACCTTTTTATTGATTATTTACTGGGCAACCTATTACAGGCAGCGTTTTAAAGGCTTTGCATGCTCTCTCTTTATATACATACATACACACACATACTATGTATAGATAGATTGCATATATATATGTGTATATATATATAGTGTGTATGTGAGAGAGAGAGAGAGAGAGAGAGAGAGATGGCATCTTGCTCTGTTGGTCAGGCTGGAGGGCAGTGGTATGATCTCAGCCCACTGCAACCTCTGCCGCCCAGGTGCAAGCCATTCTCCTGCCTCAGCCTCCCAAGTAGCTGGGATTACAGGCACCCACCACCATGCCCAGCTAGTTTTAAATTCTTAGTGGAGACAGGTTTTCACCAGGTTGGCCAACCTGGTCTCAAACTCCTGACCTCAAGTGATTCATCAGCCTTGGCCTCCCAAAGTGCTGGGATTATAGGCATGAGCTACCATGCCCAGACCACAATGTATTTCTTAATCTTCATAACAAGGTTGATTCCCATCTTAGGGTGAGGAAAATGAAGGAAGAATAGTTAATTAATATGCCCAAGGTCATGCAGCTAGGAAGTGGCTACCTGATATTTGAACTCAGACGGTCTTATAAGGTCTAACATTATTTTAGCACTTCCATATTCATTATCTCATTTAGAATCATTGCTTCTTTTTACAAACAAGAAATTGAGGCACGGAAAGGCTAAATGAATTTCCTTAGTCATTGATTGACAGTAAACTAGAAAGCCAGGACTCTTGCTCCGTAGTGGAATGGTTACGAGAGTAAACGTAGCCTTTAGATAACTTCCATTTGACAAGAAATACAGGGGCTAGATGAACAATGACATGAGGAAGCAACCCAGGAGGTGAACATTCTCTAGAGATAATTTCTTTGTTCTCTTCAACAAATCAATGCTTTTTCTAGAACAAAAGAGCTGTATAAGACATATAAAGGAAACTGTGTACTTCAGTTAGATCCTAGTGTGAATAAATCAGTATTGTGATTATATAAGAAAAAGTACGTAATTTTTAGAGATGGGAAGTGACCATTAACGTTTAAATGTCATGATGTTTCTAGCTGTAACATAAATCATCTAGTAAAATAAAAGGATGGTGTAAGGGTAGCCAAACCCAAGTTCAGCAACTCACACCTCAAAGCCAAACATCAGAGATGAGAGTTGGTGGGAGGAAAAGCAGGTTCCTTCAGAGAGCCAGCAAACTGAAAAGTTGGCAGACTAGCATCCCAAAGTACCCTCTTAAGTGAGTACAAGTTTCAGGCTCTTTATGTTAAGGGCATGGGGAAGAGAAGGGATTTACAATCAAGAAGTGACCATTGACTGCAGACATCTGAGCACCGTCAGGGGTCCAAGAAGGTTGGGAATGTCTTTGTCCTGATGTTCCAGTGAGCCCAAGCATTCATTTGTTGAAGAGAACAGATAAGTTGTCTCTATAGCATGTTGATTTCCTGGGCTGCTTCTACATGTTGTTGTTTATGTTCTAGCCCCTGTATTTCTTGTCAAATGGAAGTTATCTGAAGATTATATTTATTCTCCACATCACAACCCTCCCATAAATTTTTAACGATGTGTAGTTGTTTACATACTTTCCCTTTAATCCCAGAGTTAGTTTTTAAAACTACGTGTTTTTGCATATTATCTCACTGCTCTAAAATTAACCTCCCCTCCATGCATGAATGGGTAAAGGCCCCGTGAACAAAAATAGAGTTAGTTATGTTAGTTCTTTTACTGTTTCATTGTTATATAAGTTGGCAAAAATGAACAATTGTTAACTATGTGATAGGTATGTACAGGTTCATTATACCATTCTCTCATTTTTTTCTCTAATAAATTTTTCATAATAAAAAGTCTTGAAAGTATATTCTCTGAGTTGTATGACCTTGAGTAGAAGTTTAAGCTCCCTGGGTGTTCCAGCTCTTTGCCAGTAAAATGAGATGATAGTACCTATCTCATAGGGTTGTAAGAATTACATGAGGTAGTTGATGAAAAGCATTTAGAAAAGGGCATAGTACACTGTATGCCTATTCCATTTGTTTATTGAATGTACCTTTAGAAATGTATCTTTTTCAAGGGCCTGACATGTCTCAGACATAGTTTTTAGATATTGAGGTACTAAGGACAGACACGGCTGCTGCCCTCAATGGTATTTGTTTTTCTAGCGGTATTTATTACTATTGAAGATGTCACTATTTTATTTAAAGTTTGTTCATCCTCTTCTAGGGAGACATCAGAGGAGAGATAGAAGGAAAAATACCTCTTTAAACAAAAAATCTAAAGCAGCAACCTAAGGTTTCTGACTATCATACCTGGCACACTTTCCAGATTTCTTTTTTTTTTTTGAGACGGAGTCTCGCTCTGTCGTCCAGGCTGGAGTGCAGTGGCGCGATCTCCACTCACTGCAAGCTCCGCCTCCCAGGTTCAAGCCATTCTCCTGCCTCAGCCTCCAGTGTAGCTGGGACTACAGGCGCCCGCCACTGCACCTGGCTAATTTTTGTACTTTTTTTTTAGTAGAGACGGGGTTTCACCATGTTAGCCAGGATGGTCTCAATCTCCTGACCTCGTGATCCGCCTGTCTCAGCCTCCCAAAGTGCTGGGATTACAGGCGTGAGCCACCGCGCCCGGCCCCAGATTTCTTTTTAAAATCTCATTCCAAGTTTCTTTCATCAGCTCTTTCCTCACCACTTCCCTGTAATTTTATCTTCCCTTGCCGTCTTCATCTTAAATGGAGACCAGATTTTAACATCAATGTAAGTAGAACACCTTTTTGACATTTCCAACTGAAAATTATTATATTATTTATACCTGCATTTGAATTCTATCTCTGCCACATAGCTCTGGCCTTGGGCAGCTCGTCTACCTTCTCTAAGCTATACTTTCCTCATCAGCAAAGTGTAGATATACCTAATTTGCATAGTATCTATGGGAATTTGCAACTAGAGATAATTTTCATAAAGTGTTTAGTATAATTTTCATGAAGTGCCTGACACGCAGTATTCTGGAAAAGGGAGCTTTTATTGTTGAGGTGATTATAGTTGGTGAATAAACTATCTATTTGCTAAGGTACCATCTCCAGGGAGAGCAAGGCTGGAGCTCAAGGGGGAAGATGGGATATAGGACACCAGCTAATCTTTTCCTCTGTACAATTAATGACAGCTTTGAAGATACTGCTCTAACTTGAAAATTTGAAATTAGTATTTCAGCTGAATCATCCATTCATCTTCAAGCCATCATGAGCTGTAAGAAGCAGAGGTCACAGAAGCACTCAGTCAATGAAAAATGTAATATGAAAATCGATCACTATTTTTCTCCGGTATGTCTGTAAATTCTACTTATGTAATCTAGTCATCCCTTGGTATCCATGTGGGATTTGTTCCAGGATCTCCCTTGGATACCAAAATCCATGAATGCTCAAATTATTCACATAACATGGCATAGTATTGGCATATAATGTATCATATCCTCTTGTATACTTTAAATCATCTCTGGATTATTTATGTTACCTAATAAGAGGTAAATGCTATGTAAAATGTTGATATACTATATTGCTTAGGGAATAATGACAAGAAAAAAAGTCATGCATGTTTAATTCAGGCACACTAGTTTTTATTCCCAAAATATTTTCAATCTGCAGTTGGTTGAACCCATAGATACAGAACCCACGGATACTAAAGCCTGTTTACCAATATTAGACTTACCTATCCTTGGCATTGGGTTTTATAGTTCTTCTTGCCAAGAAATTACCTTGGGTGTTGGAGATATTAAATAACTAAAATTGTCCTTACTTATTTTATCCTTTCTATTTTGGGGGTAGCATGGGGAAGGGAGTTGTAATACAAATCTTGGCTATATCAAAGCAGTCTTTAATGAAAAACTATTTTAATATTTCTTGAATAACAACAAAAACTTCAGTACAGTATGTTACAGTAAACTATGTAATAAACCAAAATTAATGCAATTTCATAGCATGAAAACATATACCATTCCAAATGTGGCTGATCTATTCAATCGTAATTATAACCCACGTTTGAATACAGTTTATAAAACAATTTTTTGATATATTTGTTCTTACCATAACCTTGTTAGGAAGTCGGGAAGGATTCCGACAAATCTTCAATTTGTTTATTGGAGAAGAGGGAGCAAGTGAGTTGTTGCTTCAGACAGGAATGAAGTGAAGACTTGGAGTTAAGTTTAATGACATGTAATTGGGCCTTTTTCTACTGATTGGGCTCTGTTATCATATCAAACAATTGTATCTTTCCCTGAGTCTAAAATGCTCCTTGAATTTATCAAGAAAAATGTTGAAGAATGATAAACATTTGAGTATGCAACTTACAATTTCTCAACTTGTTTTGTTTTGTCCTGGTTCTGGAAAACTAGGATATCCAAGTATCTAAAAAGTCTAAGGCAAACTTAGTTATGTTTTTCTCTATCCTATTCCATGACAGAGCTAATTACTATATCCTATTCCTCTTCCCCTTTCAGAGGTGTCTATGTCTGCCCAAGAATCACTTTAATAAATAGGAAATTTATCATAGTACTCCAACAGGGTGTATGAAAAGATGTTTCTGATAGCCTTAGGCTGAAGGGATGCTCTTTGAGAGTTCATATGTGTGCCCAAGGAAATCTGTATTACCTTAAGTCCCTTTTATTTATTTATTTTTGATCTGGAATATTAGTATAAAGAAGAGAAACAAATGTTAACATGTGCTAGTCATTGTGCTAGGCATTGTCATACAATGATGCTACACTTAGTCTTTACAATATTCCTGGCATTGTTATTCCCAGTAGCAGTAAGGGGCGTTGCTGGCATATGGACCCATATCTGCTGGTACCCATGCCATGATGAATATGACTTGGGAAAATGTGTTTTTTAGACATAAGAAACAGACACTCTAATTTTTCATCGAGTTTCTACTATTTGATTAATCCTCTTTATTTAATTCCACTCCCCACCTTCACCCCTGTTTCTTAAGATAATGCCCTACAAAAATGACAATCATAAATGCAAAGTTTACCAAAAAGAATATATACACTAGTCCAATGGAAAAAATAATTGGATTAGGAATTGCAATTTTGATACTCTATTTATTGGTTATCATGTGACCCTAGAAAAGACGTCTACAAGAAAAACTTTCAGTGCCTTAGTTTCTCCATCAAAAGGACAGATAAGTCATGTTTGTTCCTCCTTATTTTATAAAATTTGGGGATTAGTTGATGTAATAGAGAAAATAATTTGAGTTCTTTTCATGCTATATGCTGGGTGAATCAAAGTATTTATTGTCACAAATAACTATATTATAACCAAATGATTAGTTAAATAATGATGATTTTGTTTAATATGTCATGCTTATAATAAATTGTGGTAGCCTATTGCTGAATTCAGTATTTCAAGAACAATTTTTTTGCTGTAATTTATCATTGTCCTCAGGAAATATAAAAATTATATAGCTGAAGATAATAAACAAGTCCTGAAATAAAACTATTTCAAATACTAGTGGACTTTTTTTTGGGGGGGAGTTGATGGAGCAACTCTTGTTGCCCAGGCTAGAGCGCAATGGCTCAATCTTGGCTCACTGCAACCTCCACCTCCCAGGTTGAAGCGATTCTTCAGCCTCAGCCTCCCAAGTATCTGAGACTACAGGCGCATGCCACCATACCCGGCAAATTTTTGTATTTTTAGTGGAGACGGGATTTCACCATGTTGGTCAGGCTGGTCTCGAACTCCTGACCTCAGGTGATCCACCTGCCTTGACCTGCCAAAATGCTGGAATTGCAGGCGTGAGCCACCATGCCCGGCCACTAGTGAGCTTTTAAGAATCTCTGTTTTAGAGGCACCTGGGAAAAAAATTTGTTTCTTTCCTCATATTTTCCAGGAAAATACACTAGTGTAGTAGTATCGAGAGTTCATCTGACAGATGTTATAGGAAGCTAAGCTTTCATTTTGGATCCCATGTCAAGCAGTGATTTAATTCTATTCACTGGCCCTTTTAGATTAGTTCCAAGTTTCTCATAGGAATTTTGTGAATTGCATACCTGAAAAGAGAAACAAAAGACGAGGGTTGCATTCAGAGTTTTAAAGTATCTTAACATTTATTTTTAGGTCTCTAAAAAGCAACAGAATAATTCCAGTACTTCTCAAATGAGGATGGAGTCTAGAGGAGGCCCAAGAGACATAACTAATACCCAGGCTCAAGAATTCCATTCACTTAAGAAAAATCCAGAAGACCAGACTATGCCCAAAAATAGGATAATACTTGTTACCTTGGATGTAAACTACAGGAAAAACCAAAATATGAAACATGAGCTCACACATAGTGAGAATGGTAGCTTATATATGGCTCTCAACACTCTCCAGGCTCTCAGAAAAGAGATAGAAACTCACCAAGGCCAAGAAATGCTTGTGCGTGGCACAGAAGGAATCCAAGGGTACATAAACCTGGGAATGCCCCTCAGTTGTTTCCCTGAAAGCTGCCATGTGGTCATTACGTTTTCCCAAAGTAAAAGTAAGCAGAAGGAAGATAACCACGTATTTGGCCGGCATGACAAAGCATCGACTGAATGTGTCAAATTTTACATTCATGCAGTTGGAATTGGGAAGTACAAAAGAAGGATTGTTAAATGTGGGAAGCTTCACAAAAAAGGGTGCAAACTCTGTGTTTATGCTTTCAAAGGAGAAACCATCAAGGACGCTCTGTGCAAGGATGGCAGATTTCTTTCCTTTCTGGAGAATGATGATTGGAAACTCATTGAAAACAATGACTCTATTTTAGAAAGCACCCAGCCAGTCGATGAATTAGAAGGCAAACACTTTCAGGTTGAGGTTGAGAAAAGAATGGTCCCCAGTGCAGCAGCTTCTTGGAATCCTGAGTCAGAGAAAAGAAACACCTGTGTGTTGAGAGAACAAATCGTGGCTCAGTACCCCAGTCTGAAAAGAGAAAGTGAAAAAATCAAGGAAAACTTCAAGAAAAAAATGAAAGTAAAAAATGGGGAAACATTATTTAAATTGCATAGAGTAAAGTTTGGGAAAGTAACAAAAAACTCTTCTTCGATTAAAGTAGTGAAACTTCTTGCACATCGCAGTGACTCAGTTGGGTACTTATTCTGGGACAGTGGAACTACGGGTTGCGCCACCTGCTTTGTTTTTAAAGGATTGTTCATTTTAACTTGTCGGCATGTAATAGATTACATTGTGGGAGACGGAATAGAGCCAAGTAAGTGGGCAGCCATAATTGGTCAATGTGTAAGGGTGACATTTGGTTATGAAGAGCCAGAAGGAAAGGAAACAAACTACTTTTTCGTTGAACCTTGGTTTGAGATACATAATGAAGAGCTTGACTATGCTGTCCTGAAACTGAAGGAAAATGGACAACAAGTACCTATGGAACTATACAATGGAATTACTCCTGTGCCACTTAGTGGGTTGATACATATTATTGGCCATCCATATGGAGACAAAAAGCATATTGATGCTTGTGCTGTGATCCCCCAGGGTCAGCGAGCAAAGAAATGTCAGGAACATGTTCAGTCTAAAGAAGCAGAAAGTCCAGAGTATGTCCATATGTATACTCAAAGCAGTTTCCAGGAAATAGTTCACAACCCTGATGTGATTACCTATGACACTGAGTTTTTCTTCGGGACTTCCGGCTCCCCTGTGTTTGATTCAAAAGGTTCATTGGTGGCCATGCATGTTGCTGGCTTTACTTATAACTACCAAAATGAGACTCGTAGTATCATTGAGTTTGGCTCTACTATGGAATCCATACTCCTTGATATTAAGCAAAGATATAAGCCATGGTATGAAGAAGTATTTGTAAGTCAGCAGGATGTAGAAATGATAAGTGGTGAGGACTTGTGAGAATTCAGTCTGTTAGATTTAAGGGAATGACTTATGGAGTTATTTCGTAGGCATTGATAATGGTTTTCTAAATTCCAAAATGGTCATCTTATCAATAATAATAATAATGACCATTTTCTATCTGCCAGGCATTTTTCTAAGCACATGAAGAAATTAGTCCTAAAAACACTCTGAGATGGACTATAACTTGCCCAGTTTTTTGTTTGTTTCTTTGTTTTGTTTTGTTTGAGACTGAGTCTCACTCTGTCGCCTGGGCTGGAGTGCAGTGGTGCAATCTCAGCTCACTGCAACTTCCACCTCCCAGGTTCAAGCGATTCTTATGCCTCAGCCTCTTGAGTAGCTGGGATTACAGGCAAACGCAACCACACCCAGCTAATTTTTTTTTTTTTTTTTTTTTTTGCATTTTTAGTAGAGACAGTTTCACCATGTTGGTCAGGCTGGTCTCGAACTCCCGACCTCGTGATCTGCCTGCCTCAGCCTTCCAAAGTGCTGGGATTACAGGTGTGAGCCACCACGCCTGGCCAACTTGCCCTATTTTAAAGTCAAGCAATGTGAAGAATAACAAGATTAAATAATAATCAGTTTCATGACACTAAAAGTCTTATAATCATTGGGTTTTTTCATCTTTCATATCTTTGCCTAAATTCATTTGCTACAGTGCAGGAACTAAAACTTGTTCATCTCATGATTCCCTACATCTGACATAAGGAAAATAAGTGCTCAGAAAAATGTGCAGGTCAATCAGTTGCAAAAGTTGGGGCTGCAGTTAATGCTTACATAAGAGCTAAATGCTTGATTAGAAATGATCTCAAAATCTTTTAGAATTTTCAAAATCCTCATATTACTGAAACTGTCAGAATATATGGGTCCTGAAATTCAGATGATAGTCACTCTTCCCATATTTATAGGCTATTGAGGCAAGAGATATCTTAAACATCATATTACTTTATTTAGATTTCTACTGTTTCGATTATTAATGTTATGTTTTTCTCATTGTTTTACTTCTTCATGGTATTATGAAGACTGTATAGATGATTCAACCAAGCCTGCAAATCTCCCTCATTTGGAATTCTACTGGACCCAATCCGTTTTCCATTGCCATTGCAATGCTACTAAAGCCGTGCAATATCAAGCACCTTCCCTCTAGGTCCAGGGACTATAACAGAAGGTGGGCATGTAGGATTTTAAGGGCTGGTTTCAAGAGGTGGAGTGTAGGAAAACAGCCTGTTTTATTGCAAGAGTGATGTCATCTTGAAGTGTAGCCGGCAGGATGACTGCTGTTTGACTCCTGCATACCAAGATATTCTGCAGCAATGTCTTTAAACAATGCTGATAGTGCAGATAACCCCTCATAAAGATGCTTATCTAACCTCCCCAGTGGTCAAGTGTTTCACAAGAAAGTCTGAGATATGACCAGCTACACATGTTTTGCCAAAATTGCTTGCTATATAAAGGGTACTTTTGGGAGGGTGAGTGCCACCATTTAGTGGCTGCTAGAAACATTGCTTCTGTTTGTAAGTTCCTATTAAATGTTTCTTTCTGAGAAACCATATTTGTCAGCCTCTTTATTTGGCCTCTCAGCTTCTTTGGTCTTTGGGGATAGGTTTGCACAGACCTGCTCACCGTGAAACACCTGGTGACTTTTAATGAAGAATGGTATTAGAAACCAAGATCTAGGCACTAGATATGCTCATCGCTGGTGGGGTGTTGTTTCTTTTAGGCCCCCTTAGCTGACAGGGCAAAGAAATATTTGTGTGTATATTTACCCATATATGTATATGTATACATATGTATATATGCCTTCCTTATCTGTAAATTTCAACTCCAAACAGTGAGAAGCATGAGATGCCTGCCATCCCTCACACATTCACTTAATTGCTTAATCCAAGTATACATATATAGCAGTGTCAGAATTGTTAACCTCTACCTCAATGGGAAATAATTTTATCAACTAGAATACAGTGCCAACATGCAATTTCCTTGCTTTTAGTCTTACATATTCCATTCATTCCCAAAGTTATTTCAGTCACCCTCTTGTTTCTCACCTCCTTCAGTGACGTTTTATATGCTTATAATACAGTCATACATACATATAATAGTTAGATTTTCTTGTCATAGTTTGAATTCTTTCCTTTGACCCCTTGACCTCCTAAATGATATTTTAATGTGTATCCATTGATTCACTCTGTGCTGTAAAGTTCTGTGGGTTTTATCATACAGAATAGTTACATTACCCTAGAAATCTGTGCTTCACCTATGTATCCCTCATATCCCTCCCCTCTCCCCTGAACCCCAGCCAAAAAAAAAAAAAAAACTGATTTTTTACTATATGGTTTTACATCTTCTAGAATGCTATATAATCAGATTCTGTTTATATATTTAGTACATTTTCCACATTTTTCTTTTTTGTTGTTGGTGGTGACTTTTCTGCTTAAATGGGCCCCATTCATAAAACTGAGGTTCTGTCGAGTGTTCCCTAGCAACAGATGGCTCCGATATGCCTTATAAAGAAAATGTATGTATTAGATAAGCTTTTCAGACATGAGTTACAGCATTTTTGGCTGTGAGTTCAATGTTAAGAAATCAACAATATATATTAAATAAGATGTCTTTTTAACAGAAACACACATAAAGCAAGTTTATGTACTGACTTTGATGAAAATGAAGATAATAGGAATTTAACACTGTGTTACTCCTAAAGGCAATGCTTCAGTATTTGCTAATTCAGTATTTGCGGCATCTTTATAACTACCACAATAATGAGAATTGACTGTATCATTTCAAATATGGTTTCAAGCCTAGTGCCTCTCTAATCATCACAGAGACTTAAACTTATGTGACTTTACTGTTTATTAAACAATTTCTGACATATTTTCTCAATACCCATTAGAGCAGATATTATTATACCTGTTTCCTGTGTGAGAAGGAAGTATAACTAAATTTTTGCCCAAATTGGTGGTACCTTGGAAAAGACTGGGACTTAATCTTGAAATGTAGCTTATTGTTCTTTCTCCTAACAGCTGGTTCATCAGATCCAGACACTACTATGGCCATTCTTGCATCTGAAGTACACCCACCTTGGATCACTTAAGAAATATTATAAGCATTTCAGAATGTAGCAAATACCTTTTTCTGATTTTCTCTTGTCCTAGCTCTACAGACCAGGTAGCTAGAAAATTCAGCTTAGGCCTGGATTTATCACCACTCACTCATCCAATTCCCAGTTACAGAGCTAACCCACTATCACATTCTACTCCAGATCTCTCTTTGAAATGGTATAGTGGACTGAACAAAGTTGTAGTGAGTTTAACTGTGCCTGCCCCTAAGGGCAGGCACTATCCTCACCCTATAGATCTGTAAATGTTACCTTATTTAGACAAAAATGCTTTGCAGATGTAATTAAATCAAGATTCAAGAGATGAGATCATCCTACACTTACTGGGTGAGCCCTAAATCCAGTAACAAGCATCCTGATAAGTAAAGAAGAAACACAGAGGAGAGACCCAGAAAGAAAGACCACATGAAGATGGAGACAGAGATTGGAGAGATACGTCTACAAGCCAGGGGTTGCCAGGGATTGCCAGAGGCCACCAAATGCTAGGAGAGAGGCATGGGACGGGTTCTCAAAACCTCCAGAAGGAACCAACCCTGATAACATCTTGATTTCAGACTTCTGGTCTCCAGAACTGTGCTGTAAGAGAGTAGATTTCCATAGTTGTAAGCCACCAAGTTTGAGGTAATTTGTTATGAACTTGGTGGCTTAAAACAATTTATTCTCTCACAGTCATGAGAGGACAGAAATGTATAACCTGAAGTCAAGGTGCTGGCAGGGCTGTGCTTTCTCCAGAAGGTGCAGCAGGGGTAAGGGTGAGGGAATTAAGGGTCTCCCATTGACCTACCTGTTAATGAGTCTGTGTGGCCAGAGGTAGAATTGAAATAAGCCACCCAAATGATTCTTTGGTTGTTACTCATGTGACTCAGTCTCCTCTGGACAGGAACAGGAAGAGATGCTCTCATGACAATGGAGCAGCAAGCCCCATAGCCCAGCAGAAAAGCAATGTGGTTGTGACTACTGAGTGAAGAATCCCTGAAGTTGAAATACATGGTGTCAGCAATAAGGACCTTGCTATTTGGTATATAGCTTCAGGTGAACAAAAACGTTTGAAATGTATTTGACTGAATCCAAACTAGTCATTCAAAACTAAAAATGGATGTAGCCGATTTCCTTTCCCTTTGCCCCCCTTTAACCCATCCCTTCCCTTCCCCCTCAACCTCAGCTGCTTTTAGAGACAGATAATTAGAATGCAACTGAGATCTCTGTCCCCAAATGGGACAGAGGCCATGCACACCTGTGTGCATATACTGGGGACTTCAGGGAGGGAAAGGCTCAAGCTTATGGCTCTGTTGGATTCAGGTGCCCAAGTCACCATCCTATCCTGTCCTGTAAGAGAACAAGATGTTGGGCACAGGAATGGACAAAGGCACCAAGGACTAAAGGATGGAGCTGAGGCAGTGTGCATAGGGGTAGAAAGGGATCTCTGGGCCTGGGTGTTCACCAAATACTGAGAGATGCATGGAAAAGAACTGACACTTGTGCTTAGATTCTGACCCTAGAGCAAGGAGCTAAAGGAGGGAAAAGGCTAGCAACCAAGTTTTCTTCCCTCTCTCTCTACTGTCCTCCATTTGCCACCCTAGCTGTCCTTTCCCTGTCACCCTGAACTTCCCTGGGCTCCTAGACAGGCACAATTGTTGGAGCCTGATTTTCATTATGCTCCTATAGGAGGAAAAGCAAATGAATTCAACTGATGGAGTTTAGGTATGATTTCCTGTGGGAGAAAGAAAGCTAAAGTAAAGTTATGGATGGAGTTCCTTGGGCGGATTTAAGATACCGTTGTTGTGGAATGATGTTGCGTGCCTTCACTTCCTCATCTCGTGTCAGAGAGAATCACCCTGTTCAGCAACTGCTTTCTGTGGGACATGTAGATCATCCTCTCGGTTTGTTTCCCTGTCGCCTCTCAGTAGTCTAGCAACAATATAGACTCTTCAAAAGAATGGGAAATCCCAGCTTTGCTTAAATACAGAAGCGCTCACAGGCCATTTTCTAGGACAATATTGCCACCTACTGGAGGCAGCCACAAATGCACACCAATAAAGGCAGCCACCACTTAACCGGCTGCCAAACCCTTGAGATCCACTGCCTGATTCAAGGAGGCCTCTTCCATCTGGCGTCCCTTTTTGGAGATGGGTCAACTAAGACTCATTGACTAACAAAGGGAGAATCCAAAAGTCAAAAAAAGCAGTTAAATGAAAATGATATATTCAAGAGCTCAGCTGGGGTGGTCTTGGCATCATATTGGTTTTACAAGAAAAGAAAATGTCAGATGCCTTTCTGGGTGAAGTGTTATCTCCTACTTTGTCACCTGAATTGTGTTATTTTCCTCCGATGAGGGTTTACTGTATCCTCCTAACACAGAGTGAAATCAGATCATTAAGATCTAATTGATAATCAGACCTCTTAATGATCAGATTTCAGTCATGGATAAAATCAACTTGAGACTCAGTTGCAGAACGTCAAGGCTCTGTCTACCTCTGGTTGGCTTCGCTTCTAGACTGTAGCCTGGAAGGGCCCCAGTCGAGGCCTTGGGATGTTTACTAGTGTCCTCCCACTTTCTGCCTTATCAGATTCAGAACTCCAATTTTTATCTCCTCAGCACTGTAAGTCTTTAGGGCACTCTGCTCCACTTTTCATTGGATTACTCCAATGGGCACAAGGCATGAAACTTAGTGCCATCTTTAAGGATGTAAAGGGTACAGAAATGATGCTCCCTGTCATGTATGCATTTAGTTCATCAGTTGTGGAGAATGACCGTTCACTATCACAACCAATTGGTGGGCCCAATTGCAGCCACTGCGCCAGATGTGGAATCTTTGCTAGAGCAAATGCACATTGACTCAGGTACATGGTATGTGGCCATCAATTGAATTAATCCATTCTCTTCTATCTCTATCAGAAAAAGGGATCATAAATAGTTCCACTCATATGGAATAGACAACAGTATACATGTGTATTTTTGCCCTAGGACTATATTAAATATAGTGTTCCTTTTGTTATAATATAGATAGAAAAGGTGTGGACTACTTGTACATCCTTCAGACCATCACACCTGTCTACTATATCGATGTTAACATGCTAATTAGACCAGATGGCAAGAAGTAATCAACACCTTGGAGGTGCCAGTACATGTGCATTTCAGGTGACAGGAAGTAAATCCTATGAGGAATCAGAGGCCCCCTAAATCAGGGGCATGCTAAGACAACCCATCCAAAGAAAAGGATGAATTATTGAATCTTGCATACCCCATGGAGAAAAAGAAAGTACACTGCCTGATAAACCTCTTTGGGTTCTAAAGGTAGCATATTCTACACATGGGTATACTGTTTCAGTCAATTTACAAGGGACACTATAGCCTACCAACCTTGAGTGGGGTCTGGATTAGGAAAGGGTCCCAGAAGATCCAAGCTATAGCGAAAACAGTACGGCTACTTG